GGCAGAGGGCTATATTGAGACTGGTGCTCTGTTTCAAAGTTATTCCTTACTGTAATAGTGGTACCCTTTCATGCATTGGAGAGGCTCAAATCACATTCAAATTTGTAATATTAGTTTCTGAACCTTTGTGAAATGTTATTTTCTTATTGTCTGGCATACAATAACTTTCTAAAGATCTCCTGGTATCCAAAGTAGAGGCTTGATTTCTGCATTGCCTAGGAGTTCCTTAAAGAAACAAATGCTACAGGCAGAAATAAGACAGAAGTAATTGAGCTAGCAGCAGACGATAAGGCATAACCCATGGGGTAAATGAGGCCTCCAAAGTTAGATGTGGAAAAGGATTTGTCTCTATATACCAACTATTTATGTAGCAGCAGAAGCTACTGAGCGTCCTCCAGTAAAATTCAATTCTGACGCTACTCCCCAGTTTAGATGCCAAGCAAACTCCAGGTGGTTTTACCTATGGTTCTGATCAACCAGCTATAAATTGGAATTTACACAGCCCCTCCTGAGTTTCAATGAATTTGCTAGAGCATATCACAGAATTTGGGGTGAGGGGATGGAGATAAACCTAATGAATAGAGTGATTGATCCTACTTCCCAATGAGTAATAGGATTGTTGCTGTTCAGTGAAGGTAAAGAGGGCTATATCTGGAACCTGGTGATTGTCTGACATTCCTCTCAGTACTTTTATGCCTACTAGTGAAGGCTAATGGAAAAATTACAGCAATAAAAAGAAAAATGGCAGAATTATTGAAGAATCAAACCACGAATGGTCACCTTACTAGGTAAATAATCCAGAGGATCTGAGGTTATTATTAAAGGCAGTGGAAGTATAGAGTAGGTTGTTCAAGGAGGAAGCCATAGACATGAGCTGTAACCTCATAGCGAATTACAGACATAACGACTATAGTTTTTGCATATTTTCTCGTGATATGAGTGTGTTTATTTTTATACTAGACACATTTTTGTCTTTCATTTTTATTTTATATATACATTTTTTGGAATCTAAAATAAGACAATAAGCTTTAATTTATTCTCTAGATAAAAGAATATTCAGGGGTAGGGTTGTGGCTTAGTGGTAGAGTGCTTGCCTAGCATGTGTGAGGCACTGGATTCAATTATCAGCACCACATATAAATAAATAAAATAAAGGTCCATTGACAACTAAAAAAATATTAAAAATAAAAAGATTATGTAGTGAGGTTGTAACTTTAAGAAGTAATTTAGCTGGGTGCTGTGGCCCACACCTGTAATCCCAGTGGCTCAGGAGGCTGAGATAGGAGGATTGTGAGTTCAAACCAGTCTCAGCAAAAGTGAGATGCTGAGCAACTCAGTGAGACCCAGTCTCTAAATAAAATACAAAATAGGTCTGAGGGCGCTGGGTTTGTGGCTCAGTGATAAAGCTCTCACCTAGCACATGTGAGGCACTGGGTTCGAGTCTCAGCACCACATAAAAATAAATAAATAAAGGTATTGTATCCAACTGCCCCTGAGTTCAATCCCCAGTCCCCCACCCCCAACCCTCCGCCAAAAAAAAAAGTAATATCATGATAACAGCAGTTAATCAGCTAGTAATGTTACCAGTTATTGGGACTGTGCATTTTCTCACCTCGATAGCTATACTTTACTAAATAGAAATGTGGAGTTATTTTGTTGTAAGGAAACTTCAGTGTATGTGAAAAAGGATGTGTAGGAACTGAGTAGCCAAAGGGGGGTGGACTGTGCCAGTTATTAATTTATTTCCTCCAAATTCAGCCTTTAATGCCTGCTCTGTGAAAATGGTTTGGACCCTAAGCACTTATCCTTTACAGTGAGTTAACTTTTGTCAAGAGAATGAGAGGGTCACTGAAGGAGGAAGTGGGGGGTTCTCTTCCTGGCTTTGGATGCTGCAGGTAACCACCTTGCTGAAGCTACTTTATAAGATACTGTATGTTCCAGATCTCATGCCACTGTGGCACACCAACCCCCCTGATGTTGATGCCAGGCATTGACCGCAGGCCTTATACCACTCAGACTCACTTTGAGTACCTGGCATCAGAGCAGATTTCTCCACTATCCAGTAGGTCACAATCACAGCTTCTCCAGTGAGGTCTGAAACCTACCCTTGGGGGTAGGTTTGTCCTTCTTTGGGTATTCTCCCTCAACCATAAAGAACCCTTTATAGGGCTGGGGTTGTAGCTCAGCGGTAGTGTGCTCCCCTCACATGCGGGAGGCCCTGGGTTCAATCCTCAGCACCACATAAAAATAAAATAAAGGTTTTGTGTCCATGTACAACTAAAAAATTTTTTTAAAGAACCCTTTATATAAGTACTTTTTATGTCCTTATGGTTACTTTCCTATCATTAATATTTCCTTGTATTAAAATCTGCTTAAATTTTTCTGTGATTTTTGTTTTCTAATTGAGCTCAAACTGATAAAAATTATAAGAACTGACTATAGTTAGAAAAGCCTCCTTATCTACTCTTGAGGGAGGCCCACCATCATTCATCTTCACCCTTAAGCTCTCCTGATTCTCAACTCCCATATCTCATAAGGTAGGGCAGATTGCTGTCAGCCAAAAGCATCAGTGACTTATGTCTCCTCAATGCTCTTGCTTCCTTGGAAGATCATAATTTTCATAATAAAAATGCACACCTTTCTTCCAAATAATGAACAGAACACTGGGCATGATGGAAAATCTCAATAACTTGAAAATGAATATCTGTTTGCAATGGTGTTGTATTACCTAACCATTACCACTTTAACCAAATGATCAGATTTAGTATCATTAGACATGAAATGACATGATTCCATTTTTTTCAAACAAACAAACAATAAATAAATAAATAAATTGGACACAATATCTTTATTTATTTTTATGTTGTAGGTTTAGAGAGACTTAACATTAAATGCAGTGCCCAATCAAAGTTCATGAATTGCATTTAATGCAGAAAATTTTATTTAAGATATTTGGGGGGAATTTGAATGTGCTTGAATTGTGGAATTATTGTTAATTTCCTTTGGTAGGATCATGGAGTTGTAGTTAAAAGGTACACAGGGCATATACTAATGCATGAAATGATGTATGTACACTATTTTGTGGTTTGCAGTATGTTTGTTACTTTGTTTAGTGATATGTGTATGAGATATTGTAGTAGTTAGTGTTTGTTAAGAAAATAACTTTTTCTTAGGAGATATGTTTAGACATGTTTGGTAGTGAAGTAACATGATACTTAGATTATTTTGAAATGGTAGAGTCAGAGAATCAGAAGTGGCAAATCATTAATGGTGAATCTAGGTAACAGGCACGCATAAGAGTTCTTTGTGTTATTCTTTCAGTGCTTATGGATATTTAAAGTTTTTGAAATAAATAGTTGAAGTAAATTGTCTACAAGAGGACTCCACTTTATCACATAGGATAAGTAAATGTGGAAGGCACTGAGCTACTTGGGGATGCAGACAAAAACCCCACTAAGAACAAGACAACTAGTGAACTAATTTCCTTTTTTTTTTTTTTTTAAGTTGGACACAATATCTTTATTTATTTATTTTTATGTAGTGCTGAGGATCGAACCCAGGGCCTCGCACATGCTAGGCGAGCGCTCTACCACTGAGCCACAACCCCTGAGCCACAACCCCAGCCCTAGTGAACCAATTTCTTAAACTGTTTCTGTAGGAAAGTTTCAGGTCTAGAAATATATAATTTGGGGCTGGGGTTGTGGCTCAGTGGTAAGAGCACTTGCCTAGCATGTGTGAGGCCCTCGTTTGATTCTCAGCACCACATATAAATAAATGAATAAAATAAAGGTCCATAACATCTAAAAAAATAAATTTTAAAAAAGAAAAAGGTTTTATATCCTAGTGGCAAAGAACGCTCAATAAGTAAGGGGGAAGGACTAACTTGTCAAGAACATGGCTTTCTAATGAATGGCAGGTCATGCTGTCCTCTTCCTGCTCTGAGGGGTTTCCTTATCCAGAGACAGGATTAGAAATCTGAAAAAAAAAATAAGTGCTAGGACTATAATCAAAGTATGGGCAGAGCTGCATTCTTTTCTAGGATCTACGGGAGAATCTATTTCCTTGCTTTTTTTTCCCCCTTCTAAAAGCTGCCTGTATTCTTTATTCTAGTCCCTTCCTACATCTTAAAAGCGCGCATCATTCTAACCTTCATTTCTCTTGTCATTTCTCTCTGACTCTGTCCCTTCTGCCTTCCTCTTACAAGGACCTTTCTTGGGCCTACTCAGGTAATTCCAGATACTCTTCCCATCTGAAAAGATCCTTATTGAAATATATCTGCAAAGTCTCTTTCACCATGTAAGATAACCTAAGTATAGTTCTTGGGATTAAAACTTGCCATTTGGGAGACAAGACCATTATTTCATCTGCCACTCGTCTTATTCACATCATTTGATACGTGAACTTTTTGTTCCTTTAATTTGTTCATGCAAGGCATTTTGTCATTAGATTTCCCCCCCCTCCCTTTTTTGGTACTGGAGATTGAACCCAGGGGCGCTTAACCATTAAGCCATTGGATTTCTTAATGCTCTTCAACTAGAAAATCTTTTACATAATTCATTGTATAAATTTTATACTACATTATTGAAATCCGCCTTTTATTTGGAATATTTATATCTATAATCATAAATGAGCCAGGCGCAGTGGCATACACCTAAAATCCCAGTAACTGGGGAGGCTGAGACAGGAGGATTACAAGTGCAAAGCCAGCCTCAGCAAAAGCAAGATGCTAAGCAACTCAGTGAGACCCTGTCTCATTTAAATAAAATACAAAGTAGGGCTGGGGGTATGACTCAGTGTTTGAGTGCCCCTGAGTTCAATCCCTGGTACCCCCCCAAAAATAAAACATAAATGAAACTGATAAATAAAACTTTTGGTCTTTGTTGGTCTCCCTCTCAGTGCCTGTAGGGTCAGGGGGTATTGTGACCAGGTCTTCTCTGGGTTCTAGGAACAAAGGCTTGTCTCTTGGTTTCTTAACCCTTTTCCCTTTTTCTTTCTCTAAGAACTCAGAAGAGGAGAGAATTACGCATCTGGAGCCATGGTGGAGGTAAAGTTGTATTTGCCACTTTCTTCTTGGGAAGGACTTCTTGGTTTGGGGGACCTGTTCTGTTTCAGGAATCTGTCCAGATTTATAGTAATGAGACAGAGAAAGAAAAAGAGGGAAGAAGCCATATTTATGGAGCAGTTTTCCTAAGCTAGCCCCCAGCATGTTTCCTTTGCACACATTGTCTTATGTGACCCAGAATTTCCATTTCCCTGGATTTTGTTCATTCCCAGAATCCTGTTGACAACGAACTGCCTCAGTTATTTTGCAGGGAAGTTGAAGAATACAATAAGTTTATTCACATTAGTCTCACTAGTTTTTTTTAATTGTCCCCTCTAGGTTCACCAAAAATAGCCCTTTTGGCTTATAAACTTCTAATACCTGGAATAGCTGTATGCTCGCTTATCAAGATAGAAATAACTTAATTGCATTCTTTCTAACAATTTAGGTAACATAAGATTTTTGCCAAAATGTCAAGATCTATTATGTCAGAGCTACCTATGGAAACACCATGTAGAGTCAGTGTAAATATTTTTAAATTATTTTTTATCTGCATACATGAGAATGTGATTATTTTCAGAGTAAGATCATACCACTAGTAGAAGCAACTGACTTATTGAGCACTTACTTTTAGCTGCTGTAGTTTGAAGTTTTTTCCATATGTGATTTTGTTTAATCCACATAATAATCCTGTGAAACAAATTGGCAAGTCATAGTTGTACTGATAGCTGGCCTGCTTGCTTTCTCTTTTTTTCCTAGTGTATAAAGTAATGGTGGGTGTGTTGTCAGTGACATCTCAGATTTGGTGAAATAGGTTATTATACTAAATTGGCAAATGAGAAAATAGTTCTATTAAGTCACTTGTCCCAAAGTTACATAGTTAATAAATAGTAGAGCCAAGATTTCTAAATTGCCTTCTGATTTTCTTTGCCCACTTTTCAAAGATCACATGTTACCTTTCTTTTTCGGGTTTATTTTAAACACAGTTTACATGTTTTGCATATTTATTTGTCATTTATAAGCTATCTAGAAATATTTTTTTCACAAACTGTTTTATTTTACATTCAGAGGTTTCAAAATATACTCGATGAATCAATCTGTTACTTATATTGTTTTCCCTCTGTCATGCTGGTAGGCCTTTCAACTACCACAAAAATAGAAAGTCACTGGTATTTTCCTAAAGTACTTTTTTCTTTTGTTCAGAGTAATCTTTAAGATAAACCATGTAATCTATAACCAGAGAATGTTGGCTGTAAAAATTCCTAATTTGAAGTGTTTATTTAGATTTTGCCCCCCTATGGCTTTAGAGGAATTACTTTTAGAGAAGAGCATGGTTCTTGTAGGATGTGAAATCAGAGTTATTTTTCCTGGATATGCCTATGTATGCGGCTCTTCATTTATCTTGTCTTCAAGAATTTTTTTCACTCACAGAATATTATTTCTAATCTCGATTAATCTGTTTCTTCCGTTCATTTTGACTTTTCAGAATTCTGTGAGAATTTGTTGAGTTTGTCTTTCTATTCTCATCTATACCAGAACCTTCCTAAGGAGTCAGAAGAGGGCTCCCTCTCCATTCTCCACACTCTTTAGGTGGGGAGGGAGCTTCTGTCCCCCTGCTCTTCAACCCTTGATTGTCCATTTCTCCACCTGTTTCTTCCTTTCCTTAAAGTAGTAATTGCCCTTAGTTGATACACTAAAGGGAGGTTGTATACTGTGATCATATTTCTGCTATTTACTATCTGTGTGACCATGGGTTTTCTTCATAGTTTCCTTAGTATAATGTGATCTATGAGGTTTAGGGAATATGATGATAAAGAAATACACCTAAATGTACCCTTAACTCTGCCAGCCTGGGGTTCCCCCAACTCCTGCCTCCTGGTTTTTCCAATGTCCAATGAGATACCAGGTCTCATTGTTTTGTTTTGTTTTGTTTTTTTCTCTTTCCTGCTTATGAGTTCACGCCTTATTGCCTCACTGTGCTGTCTTGTTTCAGATCAGACTTTGTAGGAGATATAGTGTACTGATCTCCTAATTATGCTCCCTGCCCCTTTTACTCTTCACCAGTAAAATAGTTTGGTCCTGTCACTTCCTTTATTTTGCTCATTGAGTTCCTATTTCTTTCAGGATAAACTCTTACTCTTTTATGTTCATTCTATTTTTATTCAAAAATACATTCTGTATTTACTGGAACATTAAGCCTAGCATTGGAGTATAATGATCAGAAGGATGTGTTGTCTCCCTGTCCCTGTCCCAGACAGCCTATCTCGGTATCTGCCAATATCTCTAGCTCCCTGGATTTTATTTATTTATTTTTTATTATTTTTTAATTTATTCTTTGATACCAGGGACTTAACCCAGAGGCACTTAGCCACTCACCCAGCCAGCCCTTTTATTTTTTATTGTGAGACAGGGTCTCATTAGGTTGCTCACCACCTCACTAAATTGCTGAACCTGCCTCAGCCTCCTGAACTGCTTGGATTATAGGCATGTGCCATCACACTGGACAGCTCCCTTGGATTTTAAGGACTGAATATGATAGAAATGCAGTTGTGGAGTTATGAGACATTTTTAAGGAGATTTCTGCCAGTTGGATACTAATACGTGGGTCCGTTTTGAACTTGTATAGTGTGTTTTCACCTTTGGACACATTGTTTTGAGTCTGAATCTCCATGCATTTTGGTATCTTAGGAACAAGGAAAATTATAGTAAGAGACAGGTTAGCTGGTTGTATAAATTATTGAGAAATAATAACTCCTAACTCCAAAAGGATCCTAGGGAACTTCTCTAACTAGTGCCCAGCAATAAAAAATATTGAGTATGTAAGGTGGGCTGTTATGCAGCCAGTAAAAATGATGTCTGTTTAAGAATTTGCAGTGACATGGAAAAGTGATTAGGGCCAGGCACACCTGTAATCCAAACTACTCAGGAGGCTGAGGCAGGAGAACCACAAGTTCAAGGCCTACTTCTGCAACTTAGTGAGACCCTGTCTTAAGTTAAGAAAAAAGGGGGGGGGCTAGGGATGTAACTCAGTGTTCAGAGAGCCCCTGAGTTCAGTCCTCAACACCACAGGAAGAAAACGAAAAAGAGAAGTGATTTGGATTTACTATTCTAGGTTTGGGGGCTTAAGGTTTTGTTGGTTTTATTTGGTTTTGTTGAGCCTGGGTTAGTTTTATGTTGTTGTTGTTTTTGTGCTTGCAGTTTTTTGTTTTGTTTTGTTTTTTGGAGTGGGGAGACCTGGAGAGGAGTGCTGGAAATTGAACTCAGGGAGGCTTAAGCTCTGAACTACATCTAGCCCTTTGAGACAGCATCTCACTGAGTTGTTTAGGGCCTTGCTTAGTTGCTGAGGCTGGCTTTGAACTTCTGCCTCAGCCTCCTGAGTCACTAGGATTACAGGTATGTAGCCTGAGTTTTAAAGAAATTATTAAGTTCCATCCATTTTCAGAGAGATTTTTATAAGATATTTTGGTGTGATTCAGATTTTCTTTTTTTCCTTGAATGGGAGAATGGAGAAGAAAAATGAGAGGTATGCCAAACACAGAGACTGCTGTTTACTTTCTTCTGCAGATTCATGTAATTGGGAAACAACACTTACCTAGACTTTGTCTACTCCCAGACCTGGGTGCGTAACAAAAATTCCAGGTTACATCTGCAGCAGCAGGCATGCCCAAGACCTTTGAGGGCATTTGTCTCTGATCTCCCGTTTCCACGCTGACCCATCTATGTGGAAGCATTCAGTACAGCCTGGTCCAATGGAGTGCCCTACTGAATTGCTTTCTCATATATTGCCTTAAGATTTTGTCCACTAATTTCACAAAGAGAATATTTGTTTGTATTTTCAGTTCAAAGATTTAGCCATTTACTTCTCTCAGAAGGAGTGGGAATGTTTGCACTCTGAACAGAAGAATCTATACAAAGATGTAATGTTGGAGAATTACAACAATTTGACCTCACTAGGTAAGTTTACCAATCAAAATTCAGAATTAGTCTTCTGGAATTTTTATGTCATTTATTATGAGTTTTTAAGTGAATGTTTTTGAAATACCTGGCTAAATGTATGATTCTTGCTCAACAAAGAATGGTTTGTTCCTTGTGAATTTTGTATCGGGCTTCTCCCTTGGGCACATTTATCTTACCCATTCTCCTGACCTTCATTTCTCCTTCTGATTCTTAATCTATAGGCTCTTCTTGATAATCATGGACTGATTTTGATTTTGACATCTCAACATAACCTTTTCCCTTTTTTTCCTTGAGCAGGACTTTCTGAAACTAAGCCAAGTGTGATCTCCTTATTGGAGCAGGGGAAGGAGCCCTGGATGGTTAAGAGGAAGAAGGCAAAAGAATGGTATCCAGGTGAGTGATAAGGAACTATACTGAAGACAACATGGCAGTCCTCAGCCAGTCTGCTTGAGAAAAGGCCACACTTCTGAGATTTTGGTAGAAAAGCTTTCTACCAACAAAAGGCATGAGATCTGGGGAGAAACTAAGGATAATCCGACACAGGCTCCAGGTTATTATTACTCCACTTCTCATTCTCTTGCTATTCTGTCATTTCCCTCCCATTTCAGACAGGAAGTACCCTCATCCTTCCCCTATAAAAATCATTTTATATGCACTTTAGGTCTGTTTTTCTGCTGTGTTTTAGAAACAGCTTTATTGAAATATAATTCTCCTATCATAAAACTCTTTTCACTTAAAGTGTACAATTGAGTAGTTTTTAGTATATTTAGAGTGGAATATTTTCATTTCCTCAAAATGAAACCCCATACCCATTAATATTCACTCCCACACTACTTAGGAACTTACTTTCTCCTGAAATGTGAAAACCTCTTCTGCTTTCTTTCTTGTTATCTTATAGATTGGGAGTCCAGAAGAAAAACCAAGACTTTATCTCGAGAGAACAGTTATGAAATTAAATCATTACATCGGGAGATAACAAAAAAACGTACATGTTCCAACCTTGAATTCAACAGGGTCAAAGATAGCAGAGAAATCAAATGCCACTTGGAGAGACAGCAGGGGCATAAGGAGGTACAAGTCAAACAAGCCAAAATAACCACTAAAAAACGGCCCCCTGCAGTTGAGTGCATAGCCCCTGGAGAATATCATAGAGCTCATACTGGAGAAAAATCCTGTGAATGTCAGAAATGTAAGAAAGCTTCTGGGAGCCAGTCATGTCCTGTTCAAAACGAAAGAATTCATAATAAGGAAAAAGACTTTGAATGTGGAGAATGTGGGGAAATCTTTAAGAGTAGGTCAGACTTGATTAAACATGAGAAACTTCATGAAAGCAAAAAAAGCAATGAAAATAAGAAAAGTGCCATTAATCATGGCTCTGAGGTTACTCAACCTCAGAGCACTCATTCTGGTGAGAAGTCTCATAAGTGTAAAGAATGTGGGAAAGCCTTTCATTCTAAGTCACAGCTTAGTCAACATCAAAAGATGCATATAGGTGAGAAACCCTACAAGTGTAAGGAGTGTGGGAAGGCTTTTCCATCTGTTGCACAACTTAATCTTCATCAGAGAGTTCATACTGATGAGAAGTTCTTTGAATGTAAGGAATGTGGGAAAGCCTTTACCCGCCCCTCACATCTTTTTCGACATCAGAGAATCCATACTGGTGAGAAACCCCATAAATGTAAGGAATGTGGGAAAGCTTTCCGTTATGACACACAGCTTAGTCTTCATCAGTTAATTCATACTGGTGAAAGACGCTATGAATGTAAAGAATGTGGGAAAGTATATAGTTGTGCCTCACAATTGAATCTACATCAAATGATTCATACTGGTGAGAAACCTCATAAATGTAAAGAATGTGGGAAAGGTTTTATCTCTGATTCACATCTTCTTCGACATCAGAGTGTTCATACTGGTGAGAAGCCCTATAAATGTAAACAGTGCGGGAATGCCTTTCGTCGTGGCTCAGAACTTACTCGACATCAGAGAGCTCACGCTGGTGAAAAACCCTATAAGTGTAAGGAATGTGGAAAGGCCTTTACCTGTAGCACAGAACTGGCTAGACATCAGAAAGTTCACACTGGTGAGAGACCCCATAAATGTAAGGAATGTGGGAAGGCTTTTATTCGAAGGTCAGAACTTACTCACCATGAGAGAAGCCATAGTGGTGAAAAACCTTATGAGTGTAAGGAATGTGGAAAGGCCTTTGGTCGTGGCTCAGAACTTAGTCGACACCAGAAAATTCATACTGGTGAGAAGCCCTATGAATGTAAGCAATGTGGGAAGGCCTTTATTCGTGGCTCACACCTTACTCAACATCAGAGAATTCATATAGGACAGAGGAGCGAATGAAGGCTCAGAATTTGATTGACCTCATAAAATTTCATATTTTTTTTTAAGCCTATGATTGAAGGAATGTGAGGAAACATTTGAGGTTAGCGACTTAACTGAATATCAGATACTATGGATATATGCCTAAAAGACTCTTATTTAAATAACAGCTGTGACTGACGGAAACTTTATAAATGTTACAAATTGGAAAGGGGTTGTTTGTATCAGAATTTATTAAACATCAGAATTCAGTTGTGAAAACTGGGAAATTCCATAAACATAAGGAAACTGGGAATGCCTTTTTGCTGCTTAGAACCAAGTCAACCTCAGGGAATTCATAACAGGGAGAAGCTCAGGAAGGTGTCAGAGAAATTAATTATTGGGGTATTTCCTAACATCAGGGCCTTGGGCCTTTGGGGAAATCAAAGAATTCATAATATAAATGCCATGTATGTTGGACAGCAATTTACTTTATGCATCTGATAATTGATGTTTGAGAAAGGCTACATTAGCATTAAAAATGCAGCATATTCTTCCATCCCACTTAAATTTTGTTAAATATTTGCTAGCCAATTCTGTAAAATTCACCTGAACCAAATCACTGGAAGGGTATTTAACCAGTGATTAATTTTTATTTGCCCTCACCATTATAACTCATTTTGTAAGGGCAAACAACTACATTTAAATTTTCTCATTTGCAAATTAATAATACCAGTTCTTATTTCTTACTTGCATGGTGAGGATTAAATACACTTATATCCTTTCCAGCAATGTCTAGCTAGTATTGAAAGTTCACCAAATGAGCTCAGTTCAGTGCATATACCTGTAATCCCAGCAACACTGAGGGCTGAGGCAAAAGAAAAGTGCCAAATGAGAGCTGCTTTTATTATTACTTTTCTTCATTGTCTCTTCACCATTGTGTATTTTTAGAGATCATAGAGTCCTTATATTCAGTGACATCTTGCATTATTTATTTTTCTTTATTAAATGTTAGATAATTATTCCTGGAGAAAAATGTAAAGTTTTCATTCATAGTTTGTCATTTTACCTCATCTGGGGATTTGTAATGTAAAGAAACCTGGGGGAGAGAGACAGTAGGAGAAAGGTGGGTTGCTGTGAGGTTAGGGAGAAAATTAAAATGATTTTCTTTAAAAAACCTCTGCCCCCACCTCCCCACCAAAAAAAAACAAAAAAACAAAAAACTATCCTCTCTATTATAGAGAATTAGAAAATAACAGTGCTCTAGCCAAAAGCCAAGTTTCCACTTAGGAAATATTAAAAATACCTGTATAAATAGTTTTTATATTAAGAAAATTAAGGGGCTGGCCCAGTTGCAGAGCATTTATTTGTCTAGCATGCATGAGGCCCTGGGTTCAGTCCCCATCACCAAAAGAGAAGAAAACTAAGGCAGATTACCATTAGGAATGAATGGCCATGAGAATTTGCTAAATACCAATAAAAGAAAAACTAACTTCCCTTAGTATGCGTAGTATGTGTAGAACAGAAACACGAAGGGTCAGGATTCATTCAGACTTAGACATTGCCTGTTCTAGTAAGTTCCATATATATATATTTTAAAAAAAAATCTTTTCGGTTGTCAATGAACCTTTATTTATATGCAATGCTGAGAATCAAACCCAGTGACTCTCACATGCTAGGCAAGCGATCTACCACTGAACCACAACCCCAGGCCCCCCACCCCCCAGTCAATATTTGATGAAAGGAATAAATAGGATTTGACTCCAGCGTGTAGAGAAACACAAAATTAATGCAAGGGGAAAAAAAACTTGAACAACTTTTCCTGAAATTAAAAGTATTTCATCCTTCAAAGAAAAAGGTCAAGAATCATGAAAAATTATATAGTTATAAAAATGGAGATTTCACAGAAATAAGGCTGTATTGAATTATCAGATACTATTGGTTAGTTTTGCCTATTCATTGATGTTCCTCTGCCATTCTCCCTTTGGCAGGATTGGTTACCAATCACCTAAGTCTATAAATACCAGGTGCTGCTTCTAGTTTGCTTTGCAAACTGATCATATGTATAATGTTCCTGGCCACAGAATACCTGACCAAACTCTGCAGATGGACCTCAGTTAAATTTTTTTCCTAACAAAATACAAGGAGATGGTCTTCTCAACTACAGGACACATATCTGTATGGTTGTGTGATATAGGGAATTGTGGCCATTTTGCAATCAGGAAGGGTCAAGAGGCTAAGCTAGGCACAGAAGACACGTTGAGTTTATCTGTGTTCTTAACAGTAGATCTGAGGAAACGATTCAGAACTGCCCTTTCCCTGGTCTTGAGTGAATAAGAAACTATGTTTTAACTTTATTCTCAGTTAATCTGAGTCCTGGGGAATTAACATTTAAATTGTTTTTTCATATATATACACATACATATTTATTCAACTTTACTAGAGAAAGTTCAGCTTTTTATGGAATAGCTGACATAGAAAAGCATTATTTTATTAAATATTTTCTTAAACATTATTGAAATATATACATATATCCAGCTTTAATTTAGTAAGATATAGGAAATATTTGTTTACATTTAGCATTTTATAGTATATATTTTTATAGTATTTTGGAAATCCTGGAAAATTATTATTGCCCTGAATAAAGTAAAAACCAAAAAGAAACTGTTTAAAGAGCTATGCTGCATAATGCCTCTAGCACCAAATTATCTTACAGATAAAAGTCTTTAATTCTTAAAAATACAAAAAAGTCAAAGCTATGAAGCTATTGTAACCTTTTTACCAAATTTGGAAAAGGACACCGTCCAAAATTAAATCAGCTATAAAAAAAATAATCCATTGTGCTGGGTGCAGTGGCACCTGCTTATAATCCCAGTGACTCTGGAGGCTGAGGCAGGAGGATCGCAAGTTTACAAATGGCTTTTGCATCTTAGTGATGCACTAAGTAACTTCGTGTCTCAGACTTTTAAAAAGTGGGGCAGAAGGGGCTAGGGATGTGGCTCAGTAGTAAAGCAGCCCTGGGTTCAATCCCTGGTACCAAAGAAAACCAATCTATAATACTTATGGTATAAGTATTCCAGTTAAATAGCAGGTCAGACCAAGCAGCTTATTAAACATTAGCCATAATGTTCATGACCTGACTTATTAAATTGTCAAAGAATATAATGTATAAATAGTAGACATTAAGAAGTATTACACACTAATATAAGAACTTAACACTAGTTACAGCACACAGTCAACTTGCAGGTGTCCACTTACTACCTCTTGGTCCTATAAATTTTCACAACATTTAGAATAATAACAATCCACTTCTGCCCCACACTATAGAAAAATAATACATATCCTAAATAAGTTAAATATAAATTTGTATTATTTGATAGATAAACTTACTTAGATATTATTAGTCAACTCATTAAAGGGCCATTTATAACAAAAAATTCACTTTTATTAGAGGAAATATGATTACTAAATTTTAGCTGCACTGATACATTGATTTCATCTTTTTTTAATTTATTATTTTTTTGGGGGGTGGGGGTGGTGCTGGGGATTGAACCTGGGGCCTTTTGCATGCTAGGCAAGCGCTCTACCAACTGAGCTACATCCCCAGCTCCTCATGAGTCTATTCTTAAAACTTCTGTATTTTCTGAGAGTTCATGCCCATTAGAGGAATTAAATTAATAAAATCAAAGATAAGTGATAGAACTATTTCATTACAATTTTAACTTTTTTGAGACATAAAAAATATTGAGAGAGTTCTCTTTCATTTTCTGCTATTGTACACATATTTCTCTTGTCAAGTTTTGAAAGTTAAAGTTTATATATCATGTTTCAACTGAAACTTTGTATACCACAGAGGATTTTTGTTGTTGTTTGTTTGTTTAAACAAAATCGTATCCACAGAGTCTCTTAAGTGCTGAAAACCAAAGCCTAATGTGTGTGCTTAAAATATTTTCTCCATACTCAGGAAGCTTACCCACGTCCAGATTTGTTTGGGTGCACACATGTTGTGCACACACGTTGAAGTACAGTCTCCTCACATGGTTGTAGACTACGAACATCCTTTTAGTCAATACCTACAGGTCTAGTTTTAGATTTTCACATAACAGACAAACCATGGTATATACAGGCCATTCTCCCGCTAATGAAAGTTCAGGTTTATTACTTATAAGTAATCATATGATAAGCATTTTTACTACACATGTATTGTTGCATGTTGGTGCTTTTGTTCCCACTGGTCGGATTCCTTGCCTTAACAATGTAGTATATTTTAAATGTAGTAATTAGTGCCTTATTGTCTTAAACTTGGCCATTAATCTCAACAGAAATGTATGTTCGTTTTCTATTTTAATCACAACTGAACGTTTACTCAACTGAAGTTGTAACGTTCAAAAAAGTGCCTTTGTGTTTTAACTGCTAATGAAGTTGAGCATCTGCCTTGCCTAAGGGTCATTTGAGTTTTGTTTCTTTGAATTGCTTGTTTTTATCTATTTTCTTTTTTAAAATTGAAGTCAGTTTTTAAACTAATTTGTAGAAAATTGACTGAGGAGCTTGTATTGCCACATACTTTGCTGTTTGGTGTTTTTTTTAGTCTAGTGTTATTCTTTGCCTTTGTTTTTTGCAAAAAGGAGTTAAGGGCTAGAGAGCAGGCATCAGGCTTTATGTGAAAGTCTGCACACTGCCTCTGTAGCCTGGGAGCACGGGATGCATAAGCCAGTGGTTCTCACCAGGGCTGTTCTGCTTCTTCTGCCCACATCCTCAGGGTGATAATGGCAACACCCACAGACACTTTTGTCTGTTGCTGTAAAGGGGGTTGCTACTAGTATCTAGTGACAGGGATCCTCTCATTACCCTGTAATACATAGTCCAGCCTCCACAATTAAATTATCTGGCCCATCGAGTCAGTAATGCTAGTGCTGAGGTTGAGAAATCCTGACTTAGAGGTAGTGGATGCAGCTGTGTTCCAAAAAAACTTAATATCTTAAAATCAGGTAACAGGGCTTAGGCTTGTGGTTCAGTGATAGAATATTTGCCCAGCATGTGCGAAGTCCAGCACCAAAAGGAAAGAAAAATACATTTGGTCTATAGGGTGTAGTTTGCTCTTCCGTTTTAAATTTTTTTTTTTTTTGCTGTATGCTAGTTTTCTGGGTTTATTCCTGAATTGTCTTCTTTCACTGCAAATGTTTTTCCAATTTTTCTTCTATTTTATGCCTTAAAATCTTCCTGCCTAAATAACAAGGGAAAAAATATAGCACCTGTGTAACTAACACATAGTAAGCATGTTGTTTTTCTTTTTTGATTAAAATTTTATAAATAAATCATTTCAGGAAAAAAAATATGGAGTCTTCTTTTTCCCTTCTGGAGTCATCCACCTTGTGTCTGCAGAGGCAATAACTTAGTGCACCTTGTATCTGTAAGACCAACCCATAGTATTAAGGGGTTCTAAGTAACATAGATGGTAGTATATCATTCTGTCATTTTCTTTATTGACTGAAAAGGAACTGTTCTAATTCTTTACTGCTTTTTTATCCAATTTTTTCATTCTCCCCTTACTGATAGAAAAAAGTTTTCAATAACAATTCATTCTGTTTTTAAGCAGTAAGGGATTTAATAAAGAATTTTTAAATGTGAAGAATGTTCAGTAGAGCCAAGGAACCATACTTTTGGGCTGTCCACCCTCAGGAAGGGGGGAAAAAGTAGGATACGTGCCCAAGTACACTACAGCACTTCAAGGAGAAGCATCTAACCCTGCTACTACCACCACTGCTCATCACTTAGTATGGAAGCATTAGACACTGCCACTACCACGTCTCCTGCCACTGTGGATGCCATCTGTGCGCCTCCAACATCCATTGTGCTCACTTCCTCCACCTCCGAGATGCAGGTAGTGCCTGGTGGAATCCGGATTGCATATACCAACTGCCAGCTGCATCACAGTTCCCATAAAAATACATGAATTATAATAAGTAACCATGAGGGGGGGGGGGGGGGGGATCAGGCAACTTCCTTCTTGCTTTGCATTGTCCCATGAAGTTTATTTGATGGAGCAAGTACTTTTTCTCACCCGGATGAAATTGTGAGCAGACTCCACCCTTTGATTCCAGTGGAGAAAGCAAGCATGTTAATGGGGACAGTAGAGGATGGCAGGGGAGTGAAGGGGTTAAGATAGCAGGCAAGAGAGAGCAAAGATGGATGATTTCTTCTTTCCAGTCCTTGTTAATCTTCCAGCTTGCTTGTCCTTGATTTCTGATTGTTGTGGATTACAGCTCAAAGGGCTGGACTACAGCATAACAGATTTTTAGGGGGTACTTGGGAATGCCAAAAATCAAGAGGAAAAACACTGGAGGAACGTCTGGCACATAGAGCTATAGCAAACAAACAACCCAGCTCTGTTGAGAGCCACGGCCCAGTCAGAATGACTCCTGGCATTTGCCAGAGGGAATGGTTGAAAGGTGACCAGGAACCATTGAGATGATGATTTGAAATAAGCTATATATAATTGCTGTGATGCTGGATTGATTGAATTGTATATTTGACCTTTACTGTCAGGCAATAGGGCGGCTCTTGCCCGCTACTTTGGAGTTCCCGTGCAGTTCTCGAGGAGTGGGGGGGTGTCGGGGAGATTGGATGGAGGGAGTGTGATGGAGGGAGTGTGTTCCCGTGTGGTGTGTGCAGTGCCGGTGAGAGTTGGGGAATAAAGAGTTGCTGTTTGAATCTACAAGGCTTTGTGGCGGCTCGGTTATTTCAGCACAGCTCCTGCTCAAATCAACGTAAATCCTAACGCTGGAGGCCTGTTTGCCTCAGTTTCCATTACTAACAACACTTTGAACCAAAACAAAAAAAATGCACACACAACAACACAAAGTCTAAAGAGACATCAGAACCAGACTCAGATGTGGCACAGGCAGATGTTAAGATGATCAAACAAGGAATTTAAAATAACTGTAAAAGGCTCTAGAGGAAAAAACAGTATGCATTAGCAGATGTAATAAGCAGAGGGATGGAAAAGTTATGATCTATTGTAAGGGTCCGGCGAACGTCGGAGGAAGAGACCACCAAGAGACCGCGGCTCATGCAACAGCAAAAGGGGTTTATTGAGGATCCAATCCAGCATGCTGGGGCTCCGTGCTCACTCAAGAAGGGAGAGCAGCCCAGAGTCCCGAGCAGGAGTTGAGCAGTGCTTAAGTACACTTTTTGGGGAGGGCGGGGACTTTACATACATCACAGTCTCCTTTAACAAATCATCATACACTGCAGGAAAATCAAACAACAACTCTGAGACATGATTAGTACATTCATTGGCGGGAACAGGTTGGGCGGGAGCGATAGGTCACTCCTAAGGGGGGAATACATTCAAACTGATTGGTTTAGGCCCTGCAATGTCTACGTGCAAGGCCGCACAGGGTCCTAGGTTATTAAACAACCAGGCAGTCAGGGGGAATATTTACTGGGCAGTCCGGGAATTGTCCTAACAGCTACAGGAATTTCAGGTTTTGCGTGTAGCATAGGAACTTAAAAATACCTGGTCCTTTACATTTTACCTCAGGCCTTGCAGCTTAGAAACTTTACAACACCCGGTCTTTTACACTTTAACTTTTACACTTTAACTTCAATTTCTTTTACCCTTACACTATAACAAAAATGAATGCCTTTGATGAGCTCATCAAAGAGTGTACATCCCCTAGGAAAGGATAAGTAAGCTAGAAAATATGTTGGGACTTCTCAAACTAAAATGGAAACAAAAAGAATATAAGCAAAACAGAACATCCAAGGACTGACAATTACAAGTTATAATGTGTAATAGGAATAAAAAGGAGCAGACGAGGGCTGGGATTGTGGCTCAGTGGTAGAGCACTTGCCTAGCATGTGCAAGGCCCTGGGTTCGATCCTCACCACTACATAAAAATAAAGATATTGTGTCCAACTACAACTAAAGTATAAATATTTTTAAAAGCAGATGAGACAAAATACTTGAAGTAGAGTCATTTTGGTCAACAGGCTACATACATGATGATGGTTCCACTAAAGTTATATTTCCTAGTGAAATCAGTCATCTTAATTTGTATAAGTACACTATATTAATACAAAATCACCTGACAACATATTTCTCAGGACAAATCCCCATTGTTAGTTTCCTCTCTTAAAAAAAAAAAGGTGTTTCCTAAGGAATTGTGAGCTAATCATTCTGAAATCCTTATGTATGTATGCTGTAATTGATCTACTTGAATGATAGGTGGTGGGAACCAGCTTTCTCAAAGTTAGTGCAGGAAGTAGATAAGCAAGGGTAATTTAGAGTGACCCATATGTAATAGATTAGAGCTAAAGAGACATCAGTATGATATTTAGTTGAATATAGTTATAGATGATTGCATACAGAAATATTTGTATGTATTTACATCTGTAGTTTTATTCTGTCACTTGAAACTCAAAGCAATGACACCTGGAATCACTAAGACCACCTAGAACCCACTCAGTTTCTAATATATTTCCCCAATAAAAGGAACCAGGGATTGGAGATGTGGCTCAGTGGTAGAGCACTTACTTGCCTGGCATGCATGAGGCCCTGGGTTCATTCCTCAGCATTGCCCAAAAAATAAAAAGAATCAGGATTCTTGGATAAATGGCTGGTTCAAGGACTGGAGCAGGAAATATACATAGATCATTTTACAGTGCCTGAAAGCCAAAATGCTTTTAAAAGCACAGACATTCACATAATGATAGGGTCGTGTCAAAGGAATACAGGGGCCAGCTGAAACAGCTCCCAAAGGTCAAAATAAATAACACTATTAAATTATAATCCAAAGTGTGAAACTATCATCAATAAGTCCATCCAGATATAAATAAGTGACAAAATATATAGTATAACAAAGCTATAGTAACCAAAACAGTATGGTATTTGCACCAAAATAGACATGTAGACCAATGGTTATTTCATACTAAACAAAGACACCAAAAACATTGGAGAAAAGAGAGCCTCTTCAACAAATAGTGCTCGGAAAACTGGAAGTCCATATGCAGCAAAATGAAACTAAACTATCTCACTATGCACAAAACTCAAAGTAGATCAAAGACCTAGGCATTAGACCAGAGACCCTACACCTAATAGAATAAAAAGTGTGCCCAAATCTTTATCATGTCAGATTAGGGCCCAGATTCCTTAACAAGACTCCAAAAGCACAACAAATAAAATCAAGAATCAATAAATGGGATGGATTCAAACTAAAAAGCTTCTCTGCAAAAGAATCAATGAGGTGAAGAAAGAGCCTACATTTTGGGAGCAAATTTTTGCACACGCATGTCAAATAGAGCATTAATCTCCAGGATATACAAAGAATTCAAAAAAACTGAACACCAGAAAAAGAAACAAAACAATCAATAAATGGGCTAAGGAGCTGAACATTTTTTAGATGAAAAATGCAATCAATTAACAAATATATGAAA